CATTATCATCAATCTTTAGACAACAATTAGAGTCATTCAGTTTGCCAGAGACACCACTCGGTGATACCTCAGGAGTGGTGACACAAATGTTACATGATGAATAAAAGGTAGAAAGTGAAAAGAGACAACCATACATTTGGCAGTAACTAATAATAAAAAATAAATAGGTAAAACAAACTTAGGTATTTGTGTCAGCTGCTTTCCCCACCCAGGAACTCCCAGTGTAAGCCAGGATCCAGATGGGAATTCTTCAGTAGAGGTTGTGGTGTTTATGAATAGCCATACAATATTACACTTCAGTTAATTCACTAAAAGTGTATCTATTCTAATTTGACAATATGTGGACTTGCCATGTAATGTTTACTAAGATGATTTAGTGTCTCGAGAACTTTACACTTGAGCATTTCCAAAGCAATTCAAATGCTGAGAGATATAAATATTAGTTTGGCAAGTTCAAGTATTGTTACAGTCCACAGAACTTTTCACAGGACAGTGTGTGCAGGATACTCCCACAGTACAAACCATCAAAGAGGGGTAATCCCAGAAACATACACATCTCTTTTAAAACTTAGGCACTTTCCAACAGCCATGTTTTGGATGGAACTCCTAGACTGATGTGACACTGAAAAGCATCAGTGCAAAAGGCTTTCTGATAGATTTCTTTTGTGACCACATCTAATAGATATTAGATGGGTCCCTTGATTCATTTCCCAGTTTGTTAGGAATTTGGAAACACTGTGGAGGAGTTACATGCAAATCATAATCAGTTTGGTAAAAAAGGGGTGAAAAAAGGGGTCAAAAGAAATGGTATCACCGTGCAGGGAGTACCAGTAAGCCAGGATGACCTGTAAAAAACCCTGAACTCAGTTGTGAAGTTTAACAGATCCAAGGACTGATACCAATCACCACCCATACCCATAACAACACAAAACATAACACTATTGCAACCAAAAAATGTAATCAAGAGGTACATTCAGTGTTCTAGCATGATCAAATCTTCAGTATTTCTGTCACAAAACACAAATGATTAAAATCAGCTATTAGCCTTTTTGTGCTCTGTCAAGGTCCCACGGGGATCTTCTGTAAAATAAAACAAGACACCGACTTGCCCTTTTTGGGCTTTGTTAATATGGTTAAAAAATGAGGGAACAATCCAGCAAGTGTTGATTTCGTATTCCTTTTTCGGGGTATCTTTAGCCTTCCGAAGATACTTGTTAAGGGATCCTGTTAAGGTTAGGGGAAACTGGCCTCAGGTTAGCTGAGTCAATCGACACAGTCTGGCCAGGGAGGTAACAGTGTTTCCCTAGCTTATCAGCTACTGGATCGTGACTCACAGGGATAACTGGCAAGAGTGGTGAGGCCTTTGGACAGAAGGTGTTAAATCGACGATCTTGTTTCCCTTTGTTGTGAGCTTTCTCATGCATCCACCCTTCACCGCCCCCACCCCGCTCACTTGGGAGGGGCGAAGACGTCAGTTTTCTAATGGCTTGGATAGCCGTTCAGGTTCCTTGGGAGAGACCCTAGGACCTGGGGTTTTGCTTTCCCCGAGATTCTGGAGCTTTTGTTCTGGCCACCAGTTAACTAATTTCTCTAACCTGACAGTGGGTAACCCATTCATCAAATCTCGTGGAACACCCTTTTGCCAGCCAAGTGTCCAGAGACAATTACGTTTATGATCAATATTTTGCCTACCTGTTTTTACTGACAGTGAGACCCTTCCAGTCCCACTGAGCTTTGGGCTAGGAGGCCTGGGGGCAAGGCTGACCGCTGCAAGTCTTACTTCTCTTGGCTCAAATTTAGTGGAGGAAGAAACCACTGGCCCATATTTCCTTCCATAGTTAATTAACTCTTGGGCAACTTCTCCCCACGTCCATACTTTGTTTCCTGACTGCAGATGGTTGGGGGTTACAGTTCCTTCTAACACTGGCTGGGTTCTCTCTCCCTGAGACATAGCCTCTATTTTTCCTTGCAGTTGTATACCTATAGGTTTTAACGACTCTGGAAGCCCCCTAATTAAAGCAGTCATTCTCTCAGGATCAACAGGCATCATCATAGGTGATTCATGGTGTGGCTGCAGCTTTCTATCATACATCATTTGGAGACAAGCAGCCTTTTGAACACTCTCTACTAACTGATCAACTGTTCCAGTAATGGCAAGAGGGTCTCCCCGTTCTAAAGGGTTGAGACCACCTGCCCAATAGGCAGCCCTTTGCGTTAAGGACCAGGGAGCATGACTGTTGCCAGTAGTTAAAAATACTCCTGGTCCCCAATAACCCTCTGCTTCCTTTTCTGTTAACCGAATCTGGTCGCCACCAGTAAGACTAACCCTCCATACATATTCTGTCTCAGATTCCTTTGGAGAGCGGCTAAAATCTTTCTTCAATTTTGCTAGTTCAGTGGCTGAGAAGGGAATTTCCTTAACATTCATTTGAGGATCTAGATCCTCACTGTTATCGAATGTGTATTCAGTTTTTATCAAAGGACGCAATGGGGCTATTGGAGTTTCTAATTTATCTAGCCTTTCCTTCATTCCTGGTAGTTCCACCTGAGGAAAAGTTTTTTTCTCGAGGCAAACTGTGGGTGACGGTATGACTGGCATGCTTACACGTTAGCAGTTCCTTAAAAGCCATTTGCAACAAAGCCGAATTACGTTTCTCTCTTTCTAATTGTTCCTCGAGGTTAACTATTTGATTCTGCAGAGTTTTCACCAATTCTTGTGTTACTTTAACCGATTCCTGTAGTGCTTCTATGGTTTGGAGTTCTGCCGAATGCTTTTCATTACGGAACTCCACAGCAGCTTTTAAAGTAGCCCCGAGTACGGCACAAATAAACGACTTTCCTTTTCCAGCTCGTGTACGAGCTTCATTCTGTAAGACACTAATGCGGTCCGAAACACTCTGCAAATTATGCCAATTTTGGCGCGCCCAGTCCACCCCTGACAAAGAGGGACGAGCACCATGCTTTTCTAAAAGGTCAAATAACACATCTTCACTTTTCATACTGGCATTACTGTCGCTCATTTTTTCAATATAATGAAAGACCAACACTAAGGGAGGAGAAGGTACACGTATTCAAAAGCTCAGTTACTTCTCACCGCTCCTCCCAGGAAGATACACCACACCTAAACAAATGCAAATGATTCAATCACTCCTCCTTTCTTTGAGGGAGCACAAAAAATGTGAAGCTAAAGCAACACTTCCTAGGTTTCGATAGAGTAAATAAAACTTCTTGGAGAGGCACACACGTTTAAGTAACAAAATATCACTTCCTCACTTCCCCAAGAGGCGCGTGCACGCAGGCACACACACACACACACACACACACACACACACACACACAAAAAGGTTCAAGTTTCGCACTTCAGTTACAAGATACTTAAAATCGCAAAATTCAGAGAGGTCTTCTCGAGGAGGCACACACTTAATCAAAATGCAAGTATTCAAAATACGTCCCCGAGAGGTACACACATAAAAGGTAAAGTTTCAGAATATGGAGCGGTCTTCCTGGAGAAGGACTCACGTCAAAATTTTCAAAACTATCGCTCCTTGCAACTCCAGGAGGTGCACACAGAAAAAAAAGGTTTCAAACTATATCTGGAAGGACAACACTCTCACAGCGGGTATCCTGCAACGACTACGCCATTAAATAAATGTCTCGCTCCAATTTATAGGAGGGAGAGGAGGTTCTTTTATTATCT